TTGAGGATTGATGTAATAATGCGAAGAAATTCTGAAACAAAACACATTTTTGGATTGGAAGTCTCTGTAAAGAATGAGTGAAATTTCATTACTCCTAACAATTTATATGGAATGCCAGGTGACATACGTTTTTATGTTCACGTACGTAGTCAAAGCATTACAGCTGCCAAATTGCATAGGTATCACACATTTCATTTTTATCGTCGTCGTATTAAACTTTCCGCTGTTGTCTATAGCTATAAAATACACATCCCATTCCTATCCTCGCAAGACTATTATTTTAACAAATTGCCGCAAAAGCAATATAAACTTCAATGAACCGTGCAAGAGTTGTGTAGCTTTTTATTAAGTGAATAAGCAATGTTCCGTGCTGGTATCAGGCCGCACCAATTTATAAAATAAAGGTTGTACAACTAATATTAGTTCGCACAATTAAATTGATGTGTATTACCATTGTGTTTTCGTTTATAAATACAATGATGTAACGTATACCTATCTGTGCTAGAACTTTGCGTCCTCCATTTAAATATTTCTTTATATTTTATACAGGGTGTCCCTAAAAGGTCTGTACAACGCGCTACCAGGGGTTTTTGGTATCAAAATAGGACGATTTAACTCAACTTACCTCTATCCAAAAGTGCTTCGGTAAGGCGCTATCTACCGCCAAAGATTAAAAAAAAAATCGTTATTTTTATTGTATCGGAAAATGGTTTTGCCGATTAAAACGAAATTCGGGATGTGAATGTCTAATGTAAAAAGGGTCTTTGTGATATCATCGTTTTGATTGTAGTTGCTATGTAGGTGGTAAAATACTGACCATCCACATCTGAAGAGGTCTAAAACTTTTTAACTACTATTTTGACGGTTCTGAATTTTTAGACACTGATAGACAGTTTACTTGCAAGCATTTTTTGTCTCTTGATGAATATCGCTATCTGTGATGGTTTACGAAAAAAAAAATAATTTAGGCATGATGAATGGCATGCACCATACATGCGATTGTTCCTCAAAAAATCAGTTTTATTTTTTATTTATTTATTTAGTAGTTTAAATTAATACATTACATTGACTTACTCTGTTGTGTTCGTTTATTCTACGTTACATGCACTACGGTTTCATAGCCTACTTCTTGCTTGCACTTATGGTTTTTGAGGAACAATCGCATGTATGGTGCATGCCATTCATCATGCCTAAATTATTTTTTTTTCGTAAACCATCACAGATAGCGATATTCATCAAGAGACAAAAAATGCTTGCAAGTAAACTGTCTATCAGTGTCTAAAAATTCAGAATGTCAAAATAGAGTTAAAAAGTTTTAGACCTCTTCAGATGTGGATGGTCAGTATTTTACCACCTACATAGCAACTACAATCAAAACGATGATATCACAAAGACCCTTTTTACATTAGACATTCACATCCCGAATTTCATTTTAATCGGCAAAACCATTTTCCGATAAAATAAAAATAACGATTTTTTTTTAAATCTTTGGCGGTAGATAGCGCCTTACCGAAGCACTTTTGGATAGAGGTAAGTTGGGTTAAATCGTCCTATTTTGATACCAAGAACCCCTGGTAGCGCGTTGTACAGACCTTTTAGGGTCACCCTGTATATAAAAGTATAGTTTTATGTAATACCTTAACCCATAATAACCCAGTTAAGGTTGTGGCAACATCGCTTGATCTTGCTAAAAAGAAATACCCTCATTGGATAAAACGTGAATTCGGATACTGGAGTTTCTTCAAGAACCAGCTTCATGCATTTTTTTTTACTTTATTGGTATATTGAACTAGCATTCCCTAAACTGATATCAACGTACAGTATGTATTTGTAAGGATTTTTTCCTCTTGTGTCCGTCCTAATAGACCTATACGATTTGAAACCACCACGAAGCGACTTATATGAGTTATATGAGCCGGATCAAAGTAGAGTTTGGGAATTTATTTAAGCGCGAGCTGAAAATGTTCTTTTTGACTGAGTTGATGCAATGCAATTTGTAACCTTGGACATTAGTAGTTTAGGATCGAGGCATTCCGTTATAAATAACAGTCCCAAAATATACCTAGACATAAAAATAAATAATTAAAAAAGTATCATTTAAAATAGATTTGATTGTGCTTGAAAACCAATCTGTTGCGGAAGGTTAGGAGAATTGAAGCTATTATTAAATCGCGTGTTTTACGTACAATGTTGTTAGAAATGTATGCACATGTACACAGTACACACAGACTGGACTAGTTAGAATCAATTTTGCACAGATTGAAGAACACAACCCATCGTCAATTGCCAAGTAACCACCTCTGCATCGACATAAATTAGTACAAAGAATTCAATCTATCAACATTATGGCAATGCATGCGATTATACAGTGAAGAATCACTTGGCAAGAATTTTTTCGCGTTTTTTATAGTAGTGTTTCACCACTCTAAAGTAATAAAGATAGTGCAAATTGAAATGTGTAGGGTGCAGTGTGTGAATTGACAATGTGTGAGCAGTGGGACCAATGCCTGTGTACGCATGCATCAGGTTTGTTGACAATTTATTTTTACAATATTTGAGACAGCCGTGCGTAGGTATTTCTATTTATACCTTCAATATCAAATTTGATCAATCGGGAATGTTTTCTCTTGACCATGGCTAGTTTAAAAATTGGAGACCTGTTTTTCTTTTGATACTCACTTATACGGAAGTCTTAACTTGGGAATTCAATAATAGTAAATTGTTGATACAGAAATTTTCAAATGGAAAAATTTATGAAAAACATGGATTTTCGTACCCTTCCCTTTAACGCAGTAAATGACATATAAAATTACTAAATTAAGATCATCAGATGGTAGGAATTTTCACTGCTGCAAAAGGAGAAATGGATTATCCAACGGGTACAACCAGCTACAGCTTATCGGCCCAAAGAATTGGAGGAGCTGGACTGAGTATTCATAATATTTAAGTGGAACGTTGATCAGCCAATCGTGATGAATTTCATTATATTAGAAAATGAAAACTTTCTGAACTAGACCTGTCATAAAAGAATAACTACGACGAACTTCTTGTTTTAACTAAATGTTAATTTTTAGTCTTTTTTTTAAAAAATAACACTAAAAACGAAAAATATTATTAACTGCTTGAATTCATTGCATTTGGAACTTTGTAGACTACTTTCAGAGATGCTCTTCGCAAATATGTAAAATATCATAACTCGTAATATGGGCCCGGGTCACCTTCGTCGAGTATAATTAAGTGGGAAAGGCACAACAAACAAATGTTTTTTCTAATGGTGATGTTACTAATGAAGGCGAGAGAATTGCGCGCTAAGATAAAATTACTATAAGTACCTGAAAAAAGTGACATTGAAATTATTCGAAATCCATTGTTGGTTAGCACAATCTAGAACCCTCAAATGAACAACAGTTTTAACTCGAGTTTTAATTGAAAGTCAACAGTATTTTTGTTGCTATTGTTGAGAGTTATGGCGCACACGGACGGACGAACGGACAACAATGCAAAACTAGAAAGGATCTGAGGATCCTTAATAAATTACATTGCAAGAATAAATTTAGAAACTCTGGTAGTTCACCGAGTACAACTATAAATATAGGCTGGGAAAAAAAGAACTGACCAAGAAAAAAACCAGCGAACAAATTAATATTAAACTTTATAGCAAAATTAGTTGTTTGTAATGACCTGTAGGCTGTATGCATATTAGAATGGTTGTCAAGTAAGTTAACGAAATGGAATTCCTAAAGATTAAAGAATTTATATTGATTGCACATATAACACATAACAATTCAGAGGCAGATAGGATTATGTGTCTCTTACTAAACTTCATCCCTTGACGCTGTCACAACCACCCCCGACATTCGCATAACACACAGACACGAATCTGTTCCTTCCATGTGAATTGTGAAATGTCCAGGGAAGTGAACGATAAATTTAAGAAGATCGGGGATAGAAGGCCTTTCCAACGATGTGTCGCTTGCTCTAGCATGCCATTTAAAATTTTAGGGGCTGTGGTTACAGCGCGAGGGATTTCAAAAGATTAATGAGTTTTATCTTAAAAACGATCCCCTTGAAGCAGTTGAAGCTAAAAGCACAAGTAAGCTGTGCTAAAAGTATAGAGGTTTTGGAAAATTAACTTTTCAGTTTCGAGCGTCGGCAGTGGTATTATACGTATTTGGGAAAAACGAAATGCTGCTAAACCCCTAAACGTGCATTTTATCATACATTCTATTTTTACTATTTATGTATTTTATAATATTATTCTTTTTGTATTCATATCAGTCCTATTTCATTTAAATAATCAAAGTTAAAACAATAGACCCAAATATTTACGGCGTGTCAACGTTTGCTGATCGTCGGCGCCGTGGCTTAGTTGGTTAAAGCGCCTGTCTAGTAAACAGGAGATCGAGGGTTCGAATCCCTCCGGGGCCTCACTGCGTTACCAAAAAAGCAGTTAATTTTTTTTCTCGAATTAATTTACACTGATGTTTAAGGTTAAAATATCGACCTTTTTTAAAATTCCTTATAAAGCCGAAATAGCTCAGTTGGGAGAGCGTTAGACTGAAGATCTAAAGGTCCCCGGTTCAATCCCGGGTTTCGGCACATGTTTTTTTTGTTACCTTTCGAATTAATTTAAATTAATCGATACATAATTAATTTACAATGTATAAACATTAATAAAATAAGGGCGTACAATACGAATGTAACGAGTTTATAAACACATTGGGGGCGTAGCTCAGATGGTAGAGCGCTCGCTTAGCATGCGAGAGGTACCGGGATCGATGCCCGGCGCCTCCAACTATTTTTTCTTGTGCAATTTTTTTAAATCGGGGCATTTGCCATAATCCTCTATAACCTATATAAATAAATATCTGGATAAAACTTTTTTAATGACTTCCAGGAAGTTTACACAGGGAGATAGAGAAAAATTAGTAAATAATTTATCAAACTACACCGGAAAGTTTATAGTTATAATTAAGTTAGGTATTCGAGTTGGAGCTGTTTCAATACCTAAGGAGAAACTTTATAATTAATTATGGATCCTAAAGTAGTGCGATTTAATGAACAAGTTCATACATTTCAACCTTCTCGTTATGAAGAAAGTGATAGTGATACTGACTGTGAACGGTCTGATGATCCAGAATTGCCCGATTTTAATTTTGAGGTTGATGCCTCAATTAAGGAAAGGGCCGAAATTGCTTTAAATGTCGATTACGATGTGGAGATAAAGAATGATTTGTTCTCTCTAAACGGCCCACCCGTAATGGAGTCTAATTCATCTGAAAACCCTCGAACCGCACAAGAAATTGTTTCTGATTTTAATACACCCGAAAGTAATCTCATTTTCTAACTTGCAGGTAAATTAATTAAAGCTCTTTGTTACAGAATCAACTCTTGAAACATGCGAAATTTCTGATATACCAACTTCCCCCTTGGGAAGTAAACATCTGAGTAAATCCGCGTCGGAATTAAGTAGTCCAAGAGAAATGCCGGAAGTTCGTCCAAGATCCGCCGCATCTCCAGGAGTGTCCCATCTTTCGGTCTATCAAAAAACCCATAGTTTTTTCTCACAACTTAAGGTAAGCTACTCTCCTTAGAAAGAATTAAGATGGGAAGCGCACTATTTTGAGTCTCCGTGTCTCCCTTTAAAAATGAAAAAACGGATAATCGGCTCCTTACTATGCATTCAATTAAATCAAATTAGTCGCAAATAACTCGGATATCTTTACACACTCGTCCCCGTCAGAGTCATACCGTTGAGTGAAAATTACTCAACGGTCACACCATTGTATATGCAGTACAAGTAGGTTCTTCTGTATGTACAATGCACATTTTTTCGAAATATCTGAATCTGTTAGATGTCAGATTCAATTACACGCTAGATGTAAAAGCTACTGGCTTGCTTAGGTATTTCATACGAACGCCATATTGGATTTTTACAGAATGAGTTAGAGGACAAACAAAGAAATTCATTTGAATGCATCGCCATCATAGCTATGTTGATTCAGCAAGATCTAGTTTCCCGTGGGTGTTGTTTTGTTAAGAAATGAATGCAAAAAAACTTGATTTTGAAACGTTTCTTGTAAATTTATGTAAAATTGTAGAGTGTGATACGTCAGTATTTTTCATTCCTTGTTATTTATCTCATTCCGTAAAAATCCAATATGGCGTCCATAAAAAATAAGAAAGTAGCGACATTTTCAGGTTTTTCAAAAATTTCAAAAGCGATTTTTAATCACAAAAAGTGGGAACTTTGTCCCCATTTAACCAAACTGTATCTCTCACGGTTGCAGAGAACGCACTATAATGAGCCACCAATCTTAACCACTATGTACAATATAGCAAAATTGTTTGTAATTTTAAGTCTATTTATAAAGACAATAATAATAGTACGAAAATAATATAAAATTATTAACATATTTTTAAATGAAATGATTAGGCACGGGGTGAGCACTAAAGGGTCACAAATGACATATGCCCACTTTGACAAATCCTTGGCTTGATGTCTGACTAGAAAGTGCTTTAATTATCTCAGAAAAAAAACCTATAAAGCCAAAGATTTCACTATCTGCAAATTATAATTTTTTTCCAAAAGTATTTCAAACATGGAGGTTTTGAAAATGTAGCCCATATGCAGAATTTCTAATTCAAAAGATAATTTTGAAGGTTTCCCACTTTGGTAACACTATTCAGCGGGCACATTTGTAACGCACTGAACGCCAATTGAACGAAATGAAATATTGAAATAATCTGGGAATTTTCTAGTTTTTGCATCCTATGTTCGAGTTATTATACGTTAGGTACGATAGGTTCTTCAGCGACGGTTTGAAGTATCATTTCTAGACAGTCACAAACAGAGATTTATCATGTAGTAACAATGCAACTTCATTCTGTAAGTAGGTAATCAAACAAATTTTTTCTTTTAAAATTGAGACTTTAGCGTTGAAATTGCTGTAGCGGAGTACAAAAATTTGACCAAAAAACGAATTTTACGTAGTTATAATAAATCAGATATGCCATAAAAGCAAGTAAACAATGAGCAAAGGTCAAATTTAAGAACTGAACACCGAAGATCAAGAGATTTTCACATATTGTGTCATTTACTAAAATTATTTTCACTTATAATTGCACAAGAGGTTTGTATTTTACCGAGTAAATTTGGGTTGTTAAGGTAATGAAAATCTGTTGCCTAGCAATTAGACGAGAAAAACTGTCAACTAATAAAAATGCGACACCGAAGGTGGAGCATTTTTAGGTTGACAGTTTTTCGAGTTCAATTGCTAAAAGGAAACAGATTTGAATTGCAACAACCCAAATTTACTCGGTTTAAATACAAACCTCGAGTGTAATTCGGCAGGACAATTTAACGAACAAGAAATTCACCAAACTAGTCAATTATTGACAGACGTCAAGCTAATCATATGGGAAAGGATAATGCGATAATTGTTCCAAAATGAATAAGTGAAAAAACCACTAGTGCATTTGTCGCTGTAAAAGTTGCAGGTAACTTTTGCCGCTGTCAAAGTGACAATTTCACTGCGGCTTATGCGATTTTTTATACATGAGTTGAATTGTCGGGTTAAAAGTTTAAAACGTAATTTTCTTGGATAATTTGGGATTTGTGGTAATCACATACATACATCATGCGATAATCCCGTTCTTAAAATGAGCTAATGTTCACAAATCCTCATTTTTGTACTACCTAGTGACCCTAGTGTATCTTTCATTTCAAACTGAAGGGTTGGAAACCCTTAATGCCACCTATGAGGCCAATGTGGTACTACATGTTTTCTTTCGTTTATTCTGCTGTGTCCTTTCCCTTTTTTAATAAAATCAAGTTAATTTTCTACATTTACTGTTTAAGATTATTAAGATAAAAAGTGTTAGAATGATTAATAATATACAAAATGAGTTTTTAATATAAAAAGTCCCGTTTCACGGTTCAACATTATTTGAAACCGTTAGATCAAGTAGCCTCCGTGGCGCAATCGGCTAGCGCGTTCGGCTGTTAACCGAAAGGTTGGTGGTTCGAGCCCACCCGGGGGCGCATTTTTTTATTAGAAACATTCAATATGGAATAATTGAAAATTGAAATGCAAACACGTTTGAATACGATTAGAAGAAGTGAATTATAAATCTGTGTAATCTCAATCTGATTAGGGGAAGTATGCAACCATCGAGATTTATTCTATCTCGACGTGTGCAGCACAAGCGCGGAAATTAGGATGCCAGAGATGCACCCGCGCATGACCCCAAATATATGAGATTTCCTAGCACATTGTAACAGTCGTGTTCGGTGTGTTGCAGAGTCGATGGGCGCGAAGCAAGAGCAAAGAGCGGCGTCATAAGTCTCCCGGACGTCAAGATTCCATAGGAACCGATTACGCGGCTGATTTAAGTAGTGATCATAGTTCTCCTAGCACTCAAAGCCCTAGACACAGACTACATACATATACAGGTCAGTATAAAATTTTTTCCGACTTGGACCTCTCGCAATTTGTTTCACATATGTACCTTCGATAGCTCAGTTGGTAGAGCGGTGGACTGTAGATGAATGCACTGTAATTGTAATCCATAGGTCGCTGGTTCAAATCCGGCTCGAAGGAAATTTTTTGATAAATGATTTTAAAATTTTAGAAATTTTCAAATGTAATTAAAATTGCATTCATCAGGCCCATTAGCTCAGTTGGTTAGAGCGTCGTGCTAATAACGCGAAGGTCGTGGGTTCGATCCCCCCATGGGCCACTTGTTTTATGAATATTATTTATATTTCCCTGACGAATAGGAGAGTTTTGTGTTATGCATACTGCCAATATATTATAATTACTGCACTTAAAATACAACAAGGCGAATTTAAAATATGAAACAATTACTTTTTATAATGTCTCAATAAGAAAATTATTGCCCAATTATGATTAAACGTTAAAGGCTGTCATTGAAATTTAGACAATTAATTTTCTCATTTAAATTTCCCCCCGAATTTGAAGATTTCATTCTGGGATTTCATCGGCCCATTAGCTCAGTTGGTTAGAGCGTCGTGCTAATAACGCGAAGGTCGTGGGTTCGATCCCCCCATGGGCCACTTGTTTTATGAATATTATTTATATTTCCCTGACGAATAGGAGAGTTTTGTGTTATGCATACTGCCAATATATTATAATTACTGCACTTAAAATACAACAAGGCGAATTTAAAATATGAAACAATTACTTTTTATAATGTCTCAATAAGAAAATTATTGCCCAATTATGATTAAACGTTAAAGGCTGTCATTGAAATTTAGACAATTAATTTTCTCATTTAAATTTCCCCCCGAATTTGAAGATTTCATTCTGGGATTTCATCGGCCCATTAGCTCAGTTGGTTAGAGCGTCGTGCTAATAACGCGAAGGTCGTGGGTTCGATCCCCCCATGGGCCATTTTTTTATGTTGAAACTGTTGGTATAAAATGATAAATTATAAGAAGAAATTAAGAATTTTCTTAAAAATTACAAAATTTTAAAATGGAAAGGGATTTTATTAGGTAAGAAAGAGAAAAAATAAGCTGCCTAATTATTATTACACGATCTGCTATTTAAAAAAATTCAAGATGGCGGTCGCACTGAAAGCATGTGTAAAAAAATTTTTTTAACATCAAAATATGAAAGCGTTCTAATTTTCATTTCTATATGTCAAACGGTTTGAGTTTGAGAGCTTTCAGCTTTGGTTCCATCTATATCAGCGAGCCCCTAATAAATCCGTTTCTGGAATATTGTTAATGTTCCTAATCGAGGTTAACTTCATTTTTAGTTCTTAGAACCTCGGGCGAAGCTGTCATCTTCCCATGTTGCTCTTTTACTCAGTTCTCTATAAAAGGACTTTGATTTTGATTTGGTTCAAAACAAAATGCAATTATTATTTAGTATTGAAATGATCCTATTAGTCTCTTCCTTAAACTCTATTTAATAATAAGCCCCTCGGATCGTCGTGGGACACCCTGTAGTAAATGAGATATTAACGAACCGTTTCATTTTTGCTAAATGAAGATCGTGCTACGAAATAATTTCGATTTTTTTTAATCTATTGTATAATTAAAAGTTCTAAATGTGTAACTGAGGAGTGCCCTTATGTGATTAAAACGCTATTAATTAGCGTGCTTCATGCACGCACGAGCAGTGCATACGGCAAGATGTTGCGGAAGTCTCTTCAGTCGGCGAAAAAATCGAAACTTTGTACGCGTGCATTTTGTCAGCAATTTAATGATTATATTTTTCCAGACTCGCCTCTGAGCAGGGTTTGTGGAGGAGAAACTTCTCAAAGCTCTGCTAGTGGTTCACCTAAACCTCGCGCTCCGACTCCAGGTGCTGTTACAGGTCTGGACTTGTTACCGGTAAGATTTACATTCAATTCTTACGTTTTTGCGATAAAGAAAATCTGTCGGGATTGTTAAATAGCACCCGAATCCAGTTAAATTTAGGGGTTCTTGTTATTTTTGTGTAAACAATCAGATCAGAAAGGGTTAAAATCGATTGACGAAATCTTTTGTAGTACCTACACTCGCGACCGTTATCCTTTCATTTATCTGCCTGTGCTTTCGCATCCTCGTTTTTTTGGCTACCTACCAAAAACATGCAAACGTGTCCCCACTGTGTACACTATACAAAAAATAAAATAGGTACCTACATTTCAGTTTAGGTGCTCTCGCCATGCGTGTAACTAGTTTAAAACATTCTCCTATTAATTTTATTCATAGTCTCACTACGAGTTTCCTACGTTCTTACAACTTCACTTTTTATCACAAGCCCAGTTTTGAACTAAATAAGTAGTTTACTCTCCAGGGACCTCATCAATTATAAATCGAACTACCTACCTACCTACAGCGCGTATTATATTCGATTTAGTTGATGTTTGTGAAGTTGGGTCAGCCTTAATGGTAAATAGTATATTAAGATATAAGTGTATAATCAAGTCTTTAAAGCACGCGCAACGAGTTTAAGGGCACGGCGCAAAGCGGAGTGCCTTTAACGTTGCAAGTGCTTTAAAGACCTATTATACACGTGTATCTTATAGTATTTTTTATTATACCTGCAGTATAATTTAAAAATAGGTAATACAATGAAGTCATATTGACGTTATACTCGAATACATGTCTAATTAAGTGGGCTGGGTGTTCGTAATTTCACGATTGCCATGGAAATGTCACTTGACGTTTGCTTATAAAAATCATCGTCTTTGTGAATTAAACGATTTCCATTGAAAAAGATAATACACCGTTCATTAAATCGCTTGTAAAATCTAAACAAACGTTGGTAGGTATAAAATCCAACTCCAGTAAAGCCTATTATAAAGAATATGAAAAGTTGTTTCCATGGATGGATAGGAAGTTACTTACGAATACAGTCTTAAATGAATCGATAATGCTGGCATACATGAAGGAAATGTTAAAGGTATAAAATCTTCTATATTTTGGTGCATTCATTCAAAACTTCCAAGCAATGTTGCGATTAAAAAGTGGAACAGATTTGGAAGCATACCCTAAATTACGCGCGTTTGTGAAAGCTTCAACCAAAGGATGGGTACAAAAGCCAAAGAAATGTTCTGCATTTACAGAAAGCGATCTAAGAGGTTTTTTATTTCATCCAGATGACAGTTTCAAAAGTCATACTTGAAGTATCGTTACTTAGCAACTTTAAAGCACGTGTGTTTTAAAGGCCTTTTTTCGCACGCATTTGAGTGTTTAAAACGGAGATTGTGATTCAGGTATAATAAAAATAACGTTTTGTGTAGGAAAACCGTTTGTTTAGTTAGTTTTTACTTGTCTTTACAATTGGGTATAGCCAAACCCCCGATGTATTGGAAAAATGGACAGTATATGCCAATCATACGCACTTGAATAAGCACGACCAATTTTTACAGAAAGTCTATTGCTTTTATGTATTGGTACCTATAATCGAAACGATGCGAAAAAATACTCTTGGAAGTTTCACTCACGAAACGCTTTTCAAAACGATTACCAACTGCCAGTCGTTTTCATTTGACGTAAACCCGTAATTCGCGGAATGGCCAATTATAACTAGTTATTGGAATTGAATGTAATACAAAATATCGAAAGGCAGAGGAACGTATGAGAACGCTATATCCCGGAGGATCCTTTTGATCTATTTGATCATAATTTTGTAAAATTAAAACGGTTACGAAAAGAAGACGTGGAGGAGATATACTACAAGAATTTCTCCCAGTCAACAACGTATGTGACAGTAATATTTGCTTTAGATATTAGCTGCTCTACGGCTCTTCGCTGGAGGAAGTTTTCAACTAGGCCTTGGAAGAAACCATATGGTGCCAATAAGCCAACCAGTATCACGTGCGATATATGAAGCCATAGATACCTTTAATTTAATCATCATTAGGTGTTAAATGCCTACATACATTTTTCCAGTAACCTTGCTGAGGACTTATCCTCTGGCAGACAAAAGTATCTACGTATAACCCAAGAGTAAATGGGTAATCCATTAAAAAAATTACATGAGCATTACATGAATTTAAATATATAAAAGATAATATTTACAAACATGCATAATAAAATACCTTCCTCCATTCTTTTCACGATTTTTCAACCTCTGGAATTACATTTCACTTAGTCCAGATTTCTATTAATTTCTTCTTCATATCCACACTAGTGTCTTGGTTCGAAACACAAAAATTGTCGAGGTTGACATAAGCCGGTTGATATTTGGCGTTTTTAGATAGCCTGCATTAAATTTTTACAATAATGCCACAATGTGCCAATCGTTTTCTCAAAAGCGCGAACGATAAGCATTTAGAATACCAAAATCAAGTGCCTATCGCGCTGCTGTACGTATCACTTTGCTCAGCGCTTTGAAAACGTATCGTTTTTCAAATGAAAGTTACAGAATACGGGCCCTGGGGCCGTCCATTATAGTTGGTCAAAATTATTCCGACCGGCCAATATCGTTCGGTCGAGCAATTACTTAATAATACCATTGACTAATACCACCCCCCTCTTAAGGTTACAATGACAACCAACCTAATCGCGGAGTTCTGGTGGCAAAAGCGGTGATCATAGACGAAAACTCCTGATTAGACTTATGAATGTAAATCAATTTCCAGTATTGTAAGGAAGCATCAGGACTTTCTGAGTTGAGTGTGTCGTTTGCGAGGACCACCCTGTATAACTGAAACAGGTATAACGGATTAGTGTCACTAGATTTGTTTAAAATTCAAATGTCTAAAAATCATAAGTTCATGACCGCCTACTGAAAAGGAAATCCGAAAAAAATGGTATCAATGCAATGGGAATAAGTCAGAAACTGTTAAAGATAGCTATAGGAACATGTAATATCAACATATTATGCCAATTTTGATACCTACTCTATCAAATGTAATAGCATTGAGTTTATAACTAGGTACCTATATTATAAATTCAAAGGTAATAGCACAATAATCTGTGGTAATAGTTAGAAAATGATCATTTCATTTAAAAGTTTGTTAGTCTTTGAAAATTCCTAAATTATATCTCCATAGTACCAGTCGTACCCAACTTAACCTTTTTTAAGTACACTAAAAGAAAGCCTAGAGAAAATTTTTTCTCTTTGCACTGGTAAAAATGGGTTGCTATAACCACACCTGTTTTCAAGTAATCAATTTTCAAGGTATACCGCCTCCAAACGCCATTTTGTGATAAAAAATATCTTAAAAACCATAAATTGTAGATATCGACATGTGAGTAGCAAAACGTAGATTCCAAAAATGCAATAAAAATAGGGGTGCCATTTAAAATAACGAAGTTACCAGCTACTTACGGTATTTCCGGAAGTGTCGCCATTTTGAAAATATTTTACAACTATTCCTAAGTACAAGTTTTCAAAAACTCACCTATTTCATTTTCCCAAAAACGTTTAACTAAAGCTCCCAAAAAAACTGTAACATTAAATATAATTAACATTAAATATAAATATAAATAAGTATAACTGTAACATTAAATGTTTGCTGGGATTTGTCAATATTCTTTCTTTAAAAAAATATTGGGGAACACATTTAGAAGTTAGTCATAGACAAATAGGTCAGGGGTCAGGGGTAAGCATCCCCAACAAAGAAGTGCTTAAAGTTTTGATGTATTAGCACAAATGTTACTTCACCGAAATTGTATTTCTTGATCTGCCATTACTGCGGCATCCGAAAATCTAAATTTGCTTGTACCTTTTGTATATTAACAGGCTAGGTCTTAGTAAACTGAAACTGATTAAATTGCGTCAATCGTGACCTTTAAAACTTCCCTTTAATGAGAACATAAATGCACCGAAGTTTTGTATCACTTTATAAAGTGCATAATGATTATTAGTATATATCTCTAATATCAACTACACCACTACGTATAATAGTCAGCAATTACTAAAAGCTGTGTTAGATTCTAATATAAAAGGTCAAAACGTAATACAACAAATGCTGCCCTAATAATAATGTAATAAGTCCCTAAGTACTATTGATTGGCGTAGTATATAAGGCAAAGTAATCAATGCGGGAATTATTTATAATGGCCTGTCATTGTGAACAACATAACTATTACAAATCAGACTTCAAACAACCTCTTTCACTTTAGCAAGTAGTACCTATCTGGAATATGAAGGATTGACAAGGTCCATTTTCCCGTTTAACTACTTCCTTTAATTAATATTACCGTTGAGTGAAAGATTGGGATTACTGAAACGCATGAATCCAATATCAAAATTTTAGTTCAATTTTAGAAAAAAAAAGTATTTGAAGACACGAACATATTTGTGGGACATTTATGAATGGGGACATATTGTTGTATAAGGGCCATTTTGTAAAGAACCTTTGAGCAATATTTTAAAGCAGTATAGTAACCTTTCCATTAAATGGTAGTTTGAGGAATGCACGGACAATGTGACCACAATACCTTTCCAATTTGGGGGACATTTGCTAAGAAATAAACGAGCAGTGATTTCATACGCGTAATACGTAATATCATCAGAAAAAATCAGTTATTTATGAGATTCGATAGCTGGTGATATTATATCTTACTTGTATATACGATGTCGTATTTACTAAATATAAATAAAATTTCCCGAAAATTAGGTATATTCAAATTGAAATCCGAAATTTGATTATAAAAGTAGCAGCAAACAAATAGAACCGGCGTGGCGTAGAGAATTGTAGTAAATTGCAACTGATTGGGTACCGACCTATAAAACTTGCCTTTAATAGACCATTAATTCATTTATTCATTATTTGTTCACGTTGAAGCTTTCCAAAATTAGTTCGTCACCTTGCGTATTTAGTGAGTGCGATTGTTTGTAGAATGGTACGTAATTAGTTCAATTCCTTGTTAATTCTTATTTGTAAAGACCTAATTATCGTATTTTAATTAGCAATTCGTAGGTACATGCGGAATCTAGGACACCTATTTCATTATCTAAGGTTATCTTGCTATTATTTTTATACTTTAATTTTAATCCACTAGAAGGATCGGAGAATGTTACTTGAAGTTAAAATAGTGAAATATCATCTGGGCATTAATCTGGGAATTAACATCCCTTTAAACCATCCAGACTGACTGCCTTTCAGTAAAATGCTACCCAAAAAGCCCCTTTTTTCGTTTGGTATGCATATTCAACGACTCTTCCTTTCTTTCAACTTTCCGATGCTGCTGTTTTATCATTTTGTTAACATTAGCCAATCAAATCCACTAGAAAAGACGGCTGTCCCCCTTCTTTGTTTACTTCAGCTAAGTATCTTCAAATTAATTAGCTTTCGCGGAGCGATAACGAATCCTTCAGATTAAATGACATAAACTTTTAAAAAAACACTTAACGCAATTACTTCCAGATGTCCCTAATCGTCCTTCTAACTTTACAATAAATCAAAACAAAATATACCTAATGCGATTATTTAAACAAAATTAACCATCTAATAATACTAAAACAAAACCACATTGACTACAAATTCAAATAATTTGATCGAATATTATATTCTACTTACAATACGTTCTAGAAAATTGAATCTGTCAGTTTTACAGGGCAATAAAATTGAAAAGGATTAACGTCGCAAAAATGAGATCTGGTAAAATTAAGGGAGATGGTTAAAGAATATATAGGAAGGGCAATGAGAATTGAAATGAAAAGGGAGGTAGCAATGAAGAGTCAGAAAACTACAGAAAACAAATGGAACAGTAGGAAAAATGCTATAATCAAAGTGCCTGAGAAGAAGGTGGTGTATTATAGGAGAAGAAAAAGAGCATAAAAAGTCATGGATAACATTCGAAATGGTTGAAGAGATTGAAGAAAGGTCGAAAGGAGGAAGTACAAGCGGTAAAATACGGCAGATGGCCGAATAGGGAGTAACTGGAATTCCCATGTCGCGCACTTATACTTTCGATAAGTTAAACCAAATTAAACTGTTTTTAATTAATTGCTCCTTTTCGCGAAATTAGAAAAGTATGGAACCGATGTCAGACTTGAAGTTTGTAAGCGGGCTTCTTTTGAAATAAATCCCAGCGCACACGGATGGATTGTCTGTAACTCGGGCTCAAGTCTCCAAACCTATTGTTAATTGGAATTCCGAGTTCAAACGGCTAGGTCATCAATATCACCTGGTATCTATGAAAACTTCACGAACTTGTCGTTCTAATGCTCGCTCTAGATTTACTATAGAAAACAAAACATGTTAATAATGGCTTTTCACGTCTGAAATTCAAAAATTTTCAATTTGCCCTCTTCTTCTCTGACAAGAAAGCTTTCGGTGGTTGTAAAAATAATTTAGAAATTTTTACAGGAATGATCGCAAATGCATAAATTCACAACGTAACTTACATGCGTTATCGGCGGTAAAACGAATAATTAAACCAAATGAAAACAGAGAACTCACTCCTTGTCTCCTGCTTCGTTACAAAACTCACGCTCTATGTATGTTTTAGAAAAGTGAGGTGCCAGTTACAGATGTAAACTCCATGGATGTTTGGTTTTTATTGTTCTAGTATTTGTAATTGGCCCTGTATGAACAATCCCTGTCCAAAAACGCCTTGTGAAACTCCTTGGTTATATAAACTGCTTTTGTTGTAGTTAACATCCACTGATGAAGCGTCCCGACGGCGGGAAACTGCTTTGCGGCAACATTCGTTTTTCCAGTTGCGGGTACATCTTCGCAAAGGGCAAGGGTTGGTCGCCATGGACAAGAATGGTGAGTAAATGAATTTAGAAACAAGTTAGTTTTAGATCTTATATAATGTAATCTTATGAACAAAATTGCCATAAATATTAACGTTAAAATATGAATTCAAATCACACTTTTCGGGTCCTGTTAAAAGGAGAATAATTAATGAAAGATGAATTTAACAAATTACATTTTCTCTGAGCGGACGAAAATTTATTTCGGAGATTGATAAGTTCGCCAAGGAAACTCGCTAAAGGAATTAAAAAATGACAAATTACAAAAACTCATTTTTCATGCTTCAGTAAATTATTAATGTTTCGTCTAACGATTTTTCAAAAATTTGTGTACTAAAACGACGTCGATTTCACGAACTTATTTTGTAAAGTAGTACACCAAACGTTAAATTAACAACATTTTTTCATGCGAAATGCTTTGCAATTCAATGTTATACGCTCGAGAGAGGAAAATTTGTTATTTATATTACTATACTTATATACTATTATTATTATTAGGCAGGGCTGAGAATCGTTACAGATAATAGATTTATCAACATTTTCAGTTAACGTCTTAGTTTGTTGGTCTGTAACAGAAACTTTGCAATTCAGTTTTAGGTATTTTAATTCGCTAGTGAAATTGTCATTAAACATTAAACGTGAATTCCAGTAATGGATTTTTCTGTGGTTTGTGGGGTTGTTTAATATGAATTTAAAAGTTTGCATATAAAGTTCTGTTCGGCGTTCCGATATGAGAAATTGCTTATCAGTTATTTATCCGCAGCTCAGCGTTTTCGTATTTTATACCACTATACAAAATTAAAGTGTACACAATTTCATAACGCTATGCTAAAGCAATATTAAAGAAGAATGAAAGGTCTTCCAAATACACCAATGATCCCACCAGTTCTCTGTACAGCAGATGTTCTGAATCTTCCAGCTCTTTCTTGGTTATAAGTTTTTATAGTCTGGTTCCCAATTCAATCGACGTACTCACTGGTTTAGAATCCTTCCTTCTAAATCTTTCGAAGACATCCTTCATGTCTTTCTGAAATTTTTATGCATTTCGCAAACTTTGTTTCCTTCCAAAAAATACTGGAGCATTTTTTTTTGCTTTCTTGATTATTTCGCAGTCGCTTGGTTTCCTCCAAATGCTCCAGGACTTCCATATACGTTTCTTATTTCAATACTCCATTGAGATATGCCGTTGTAACATCATACTGTTTCATTTTCATCTGACGATGAGCGGCGGGAAATGTATAGAGCTCTGTTTTGCCTCCGTTGCATACGTCTCGTTGTAATCTTATGCGGGAGCAATGATTCTTGCCTTCCTCTTGTCCACTGTTCCGTCAACCTGGACACAACTTTCAATAACTCGTTTCTTCTCGTTCTTCAGTGACAGTTTACATTTAAATGTTTTCTTACACCCTCTCCCTCTTCTAGTCCGTCTCGTTACTGGAAACAAGATGCCGCGGGCGGTAGCCATTAAACCTACTGTGAGGTCTGTATAATGAGAGATCGGTTTCCAGGCTTTTTTTAAAATGTTTCTTACCAAGCCGATTTATATTTATCGAACTCTGTGCGCAGACAGTAGGTATCAATTATGTGACAGAGAAAATTTTTCATAAAAGTTGTTGAATGTTTGACGGAGAAGGTCTCCAAAAGCATTAGGTACCTCGTATTTTCGAAAATCAAAGTTGCTGTGCGATGCATAAGGTAATTGGAAAAGGGTTTCGATTTAAAAATCTGTAATTTATTGTGCTAAATGAGAAAAATTGTAGTAACAAATGATTACTGCATCGTGCAAATGAAAGTAGTTGTCACGTTTTCATCCCGAATTCGTTTACGGTCTTGTAATATGTTTAATTGGTGCATGTATACACTCGACTTTCATATACCTATTCGCTATTCTCAAAGGAGCGTAAACGATACGTTTGCTGCATCCAAAGGCGTCCTTTATGATGTAATTCACGTTGGATTATGTATCCAGCTGTTTGCGTCCATTTGAACTTCCGAAGTTAACTCAAAGGAAATGTCGAGTGGCTCAATCTGAATAACACAAAGTCAGACTTCTCTGATGTCACGTCACAATAGATTTCTGCTTCACATCATTATTGATGGATGATTCTATAATGTCATCGGACATTGTGGAAATAATAAGAAACGAATGCAAATTGAGATAAGTCAAAGCTTTGTATTCAAAGCACGAGTTAAAAGCTTGGAAAAAGAGTATGACTTTTCCATTTAAGGAAATTGGAGAACATTTGAAATGGACTAATAAGTCATTCCAGTTCCATTGATAACGATAATTAGCGGAAATCGCTGTAGTGATTCTCAGGGTAATTCTAGGACAATGTGAACGCTTCCAATCACGCAGTTTTAATTTCAGTCAAATTATAATTTGCCATTGCATGCATCCGTTATCCGTCAATGCGTGGATGCGTCAAGATTCTTCTAAGCGCCAATGTGAAGCATCTCATTTGGCACTTAGGAAAGATCATTTCTAACGTATCGACAGATAACGGACGCATGCAAATTCACTAAAAGATTGCGATTTATACATTTTTATATTTCTAGGGACGAGCGATCCATACGTAAAGTTCAAATGTGGGGGTAAATTAATCTACAAATCAAAAACCGTATATAGGGATTTAAATCCCGTATGGGACGAAAGTTTTACAACTCCCATCGAAGATCCATTCGTGCCAATTCAAATCAAGGTTTTCGACTACGATTGGGGTTTGCAGGTAATATCGCATCGAGGAATTTATTTTTGTAAACGGCTACACATTTCAGGACGATTTCATGGGAGCCGCAACTTTGGATTTATCAACTTTAGATTTAGGAAAAACAACAGACCTCACTTTACCCCTGCAGGATCCATCAAACGCTTCGGCCGAACTTGGCGAAATTGTATTTACCGTTACTTTATACCCTAAAAGCCAAGAAGATAAGGAGCAGGTGAGTAAACTTTTACTAGTCCCTTTGAAATTGAATTCTCGCTGACGCGCATTTCTAAACGTTAATGGCGAACAAATTTAGTGTAGGTGTTAGCAAAGAAAAACAACACTTTCAATCAACCTCCAGTAACTTGATTAATTAAATTCGTGTTAATTATTTAGAACAGTTGTTACTGACATTCCTACAAGTTGCTATGGTAGCGTAAAATAAAAAGTCGCTGGAGAAATTTTGTTTTTCAAATGAAGAGCCGAACTCAATTTTTACTGGGTGAAAATCGAAATTTTATCGGATGCAAGTCAATTTCTAGCGTCCTCGCCGCAATTTGCAATTATATTATCGAAAACCGCTAAAAATATTGAGATTTAAATTAATATCCGTGGGAGGCGAATGGATTATTTTCCGCCGATGGAAAGAATTATGATTTCCATACGCAAATAAGAAATAAATTAACCAAATCAATCGACTCTACTCTGAAGTTTCAGAAGAGACCGTACAACATTTATTTTCAGTGATATTTTAAAAATCAAGCCTGTATTAACAAAAATCTTCGGGGCCACAGTAATACGTCTGTTGATTTTATACTAAACTGTTTATTCATGTTTTTTTCTAATGATGCATGTGTTTAAGATCAGTTTATTATTTATTAGGAATTCTAATGAGTTTTTTGTTATTATTCCATGTGCTCCACTAATAACTAATTAGAAATTGATGACTGGTTTTTACATCTAATATTCTGCTCTTGTATTAGCATTTAACATCTGATGTTATATGATTTGAGAAAATTACAACGTTTTCGTCTCTCTATGTATTAAATGCTTTGCTTTGCTCAAAGTTAGAACGAAGACAGTTTCTCAGTCTGCTTAATTGTATACCTACCTACATATTAATCTTTTCGGAAAACGTCAGAAACCCTATACACGCAAACATGACTGTTTTTGCCGGCTTAATCGCATGTTTTGTTATAAAGAAAATTAGCAGTATTATTAAATTTACCTTTACAAGCGTTTGTTATTGGTACGTTAGGATTTTAAAGTATTTCACGAGTGAGTTTTGAAGTTTTTTGCTTTATTGTTTGTTGGTGAAAGGGTATGCATCCAAAACTAGATTTCATTTTTAACTAATCGCAGTTTTGGAGTTCAATTTGCAGCCCCCCGAAGCCTAAATTTAATTAACCTTTGATTTACAAAATTTTAATTAGACGTTAGGTTGACTATTCTTTTACTATCTAACATGGAAACATGGTATTCCCCCAGAAATTCTGTTAGATACGTTTCACTGAAACATGAATAAGAAAACTGTCACCGTTCAGACCATGCTTTTAAAACATTCACATCCCATACTTTTTACTTTTTTGTCACACCCTCTTTTGCTTCCCTATCGGAATTTTCTCTTCTTTATATAAGGCTCCCTCTCCGATCGCTTTCTTTGTTTTACTAAAGTCTCCCTCTGCGAAGTATTCTTTTCTGAACAATCTCTCTACAGATTTTCTCTGTTGTTTCCTTCTATAGACCTTCCCCTTCCACTCCTTTGCCACTACTCAAAAGTCGCTCGTACGCATTCTCCTTCTTCATTTTACTCTCTCCAGTTTGTCCCACCCCTTACTGTCTAGATCCTTTTCGTGACACTTTCTTATCAGTGCTATTCTTTCGATATCCATCTCCCTCCCGATCTTCCCAAACTTCCCTTCAGTGAAGTCTCTCACTTTCTACTTCCCATTCCACATGCATTAAAAAATATGCAAATATTGTAAGCGCAATCCGAAATGATTCCCAAAGAAAAAAATAAAAGTTATAAGAAGGTTTCAAAAGACTCTTGAAATCAACCAATTATGAAAAAACTGGGAATATCCTAGGAACCGGGTATTAAAATGATATTTTAAGAAGATTCTGTACATGCCGAATCAAATTGTGAAATTTTAGTGATTAAGAAAGATTTTATAATAATTTCAAATATCTTACTAGGCAACCCAAGTGAATTTAAAGCATCCAGGATTCTAGACAAATCCAAGAAATAGCTCCCTGGGGTCAAAAAATTTCCTTTAAAGAGAATTTTTAAAATGACCCTAGAAGATTTCCAAAAAAATTCGTAAATCTAAAAACCCAAGAAATTTTAGGAAAGCTTCACATATATGCTGCAGCTTTAAGAAATAAGGCCTCTCCATCTACACATTTTTCTTCTCCAATCTCTCCGTCTCTGAATACTCTCCGTGCTCGTCATCTCCACGCCCTCCTCAGATAATCCACAAATGCTCTCCAGAGCTTTCTCCCCTTATCTCCCCCAACTCTCTTTGACCTCACATCTTCCTTCTCCGTTTTCCCCTCCCACCCTCCTTTGAGGCCTTTCTCGAAATCACCATCTCCGAACCCAGTTTCTCATCGGGTACTTCATTTTGATATAATTTTTTAGTTTGTTCCGAGGTTTGTTCAATCGATTTCAGAAAGTTTTCATAATTATAGATAATAATTTTTTAACACCTTGTGAGTCCGGGAGTAGCCCACTTCCATCCTGTAGATCGTAGAACGTGATCAATGGATAAGGGAGGCGACGAGCTGATACCAACCTTGATCCTCTCCCCCATTTCCAGTCTTATTCCGATACCTGCAAATCAACAGAACAATATATCCCGCAGCACCTACGGGTCGGACCAATAACTAATAGAAACATCATGGACTTTGGGAAATAAAAGCTAGGTACTCAAAAATAAGAAAAAAATCAGGTCCGTATTTAAAAAAATAAAGTTGATGTCCGTTTTCTTTTGAGATATCTCCGGAAAAATTTATGTTTAACAAATTATTCAGCATTAACAATGCGTAGTTCTGCCTCCATTTAATCTTTGAATATAAATATATTCAAAGATTTAATCAACTCTACATCTTTAATAGTTACCAAGATAAGACCGACACTTTGGGAAACGAATCGATTTAATGTTTCTGCTGCCTAATTAATCCCTTTTATTTATCTACTTTTACAAACTTGCCCTGTTCTCTAATAAATTTGTAAAGGTGAATTAATTGTAATGTAGACCGTAATTTATGAGGTTTTACCAGCTATACGATTTGTTAAGCATGGCGAAAGCACATTAAAGTGTGCATCCCCTGGAAATATACAAAAGGATAACTGGACAGAGAAACCAAGAAAATGTAATGTAATGGATGTAGATGTCAAGCGTGTTCCCAATTGCGAAACATCTGATGAACACAAATTCAATTACAACGCGTAGTAGATTATATCTTGTAAAACAAAAGTTTTGGAACATCCATTTCTGTAAATCAATAACTGCTAAGTGCTAATGCTAATTAGTAAAGAAATACAGTGTGGAATTCAATTATTGTGAAACTTATTTATGATAGGCCATTAAGGGTCGCTTCTAATTGGCGAAGTAGTTAATATAATGCGATGTCATTACGGAAATGCAGATTAGTGAATACTAAAAGTTGAACCGTTTTTTTCAATACCCCCTAAATTCCATTTTTAACGATTTGTCCCTTTCAGTCCGCTTTACACTTTCAAATTTTAATATTTTCATAACCGGTAAATTGCCGCATAGTACGAATTTTCATTTCGTTCCCTCACTTCGTTTCCTGGTAGCCCACAATATTTTTTTCCTTTGACATAATTCCATATCTGATTTATTTGAGCGGAATGTTTGTTTTTTGTATATAATTTTTCAGTCTTTTCTTGTGTTATCTGAAAGTAATTATTCAACTGCTGTCTCCCTTTGGCTGATTTTAATGATCGATGGGTTAGATCTCATCAGTAAAATAAAACTAAAACTGAAAGAGATGTACTAGAAACCGAGCTAGAAACAAGTATAAAATTGACATAGATCGTTTTTAACATACATATACTAGCCTTTCATTTCAAAACGAAACACCGATTGTATTTTGTAATTTTGAGAAAAAATCAAAACCTTACCTTATTTTTAGCACTTCCAGCAAACCCCAAAAATATAATCTGGGCTGTTCATATAAAGGATCCTACAAAAAAAAATCAAATTTGTGTGGTCTGGTTGTGAATTTAATTTTAAAAAGTCAAGACAAACACATCATAAATGAATTTGACTCATTTCACGTTTTGATTGTTTGTTATCTCTTGAAAACATTTACATCAAGTATACTGAAAAAGTTACACTAGAACATCCTGTATTTTATTGCATTTTTAAAATTTTCATGAAAATCTGCGTCGTTTGATGCCACGTTTCCCTAATACTCAGTATCGAAGGTTTTCAAGTTATTCTAGATTTTTTTAATTTGTTGACGTTTGACTGCTTTTCTTTAGGGCCCTGTATCTATGACTCCGTTGACTTGAATTTCAAAAAGTTGTGCATAATTTTCTTAGGAGGAAGTTCTATTGAAAATAAGAACATTCCTATCCACATCCGGCGAAACCGGATACCATGATATTTTCTTTCGATCAAAAAAGTATGTTGGTACGTTAATTTTTAGATTTAAATTATTATTTGGGAATCTGAATACTTTTAGGTAACGGTTTGCGTAAAACAGCTTGTATATCCTCTAAGTTAACAGGGGGAGCAACAAGAAACCGGTTCTTAGAGTCTCTCAGTGATCCTGTCGGAAACAAACGAGTGTTTGCAAAATCTTCTGGGAATTGTTAGGGTGTCTTCTTCAGAACTATTAGGATGATGATAACTTTCTGTCTTCGTAGAATCCTCAGAACTTGGAGAACCTTCATAGCAATGGAATGCTTAGAATCTGTTTGGAGCATCTTCAGAACTCGTCGTAAGAACCTCCGCCCATAATTTTTTCGACGTGCTCTAACTTTGATGCAGTGTTACTAATGCACTTTAATGGGAATCTCCCTAGAATCTTCTCAGCTCCATTATTAGTATTCGTATATTGTTCCCTCCTTAGGGATTTTGGGTTACTTTGAGATCTTCTTCGTTCAGAATATCCTCAACATTTTTTTCCTATTTCAATATCTTCTGATTCTCTACGATTTTTAGAATGCCAACAGAATCATTGAAGTTTTAAAGTCTTTTA